ACTTAGGAAGAGGAAGGAGGGAGAGAAAAGGGAAAAGAGTAATGCACTCAAGGGAGAAATTGTGATTCTCCAGAGATGGAGAGAGCCCCAGTACATACACATCTCAAGAGGGGAGATGCAGACGCCATGTGTGCCCAGCCACATGGGCACAAGCAGCTCATGGGCTCGGGCAGTATGTGTGCATGCTTCCTTTGTTCAAGGTGGCTTTGTAGGGTTTTCCCAAGATGTCCCACATAGCACTTTCTAGCTAGGTGAAAGTTCGTTGTGCGGGTAGTTTCCAAGGGAGTAGAATTGGAAGTGGCCGATGTTCTTTGGAATTCCTTTTCTGACTTTGCTCCTGTTGGGGCTTCTCTTGGAATGGGTCCAACTCTGGGTCCATTGCCTCCAGGAAGGTCTTATCAGGCCTTAATTCCTGTGCTTTGCAAGCTCAGGGCTATTATAGGGTTTTATAATTTCCCAGGAATTCTATTGCCATAGGGACCCTTCCCTGTCTAACTGCCTTTGGGACCCCTGATCACTGCCAGGCCCAAGAATGACATTGGACATTGATGAGCACTGAACTGTCAGCCCTGAACTGTAAGTGAAACATCACTGGGGTAATACCTATAAATATCTATATCAAGGATACTAGATCTCATTTCTATTGCAATGCCCTCTATACCCAACTACAGTAGCATACTTTCCACAGCATTTCCTATTGAACGTTTCTAGTTGGATCCCAGATGTTTTATATATTTGTTGCCCGTGGAGGTCCCCAGGTGACTTATGTGAAGTGGGAGGAGAGGTGTAGCAACCTCAAGAAGGAAACCTCCTCCTCTTCCTCTCCTCACCGCTGTCACATGTGAATGCCTAGGAGATTGAGGACTCAGAAAGTAGGCTTGAGCCTCTACTCAGTGCACACTCCATGTCCCGCCAGCCCACGAGGCAGCCTTCAAGCTGCACCTCATGACCACTTGCATTGTGCAACATGGGAGGTGACTCCCGTTACCTGTTTTCTCAGGTAGTGTGGACTTGGGCTGGAGTGAGGAATGGCTCTTTGCAGGAAAGGGAAGCCAGTCCCAGACGTTCCCCAGGATTTTCAACTCTGTTGCCTTTGCCTCTCAGAAGAGAATTTCAGGAAGAAACAAACAGTACAAGTTTATTGGGAAATAGAGGGAAGTAAGGAGGGAGATAAGGTAAAATATGTGCTCAAGAGAGAACACAGGCTTCTCCAGAGTGGAGGGAGCTGGCACGCAGCCCTACCTGGAAGCATGACAACCCAGATCTCCAGAGGGTACATGCAGCAGGAGTGTGCTCAGACTCTGTGTGGGGCAGCACACAGACTCAGAAGCACATGCACACCCTTCCTTTGTCCAAGCTGGCTCCTGTTATACTTCTCGCAAACTCCCACTCCCCCATTGCTAGGTTGGTTTTCAGAAAGAAGAGCTGGGAGCAGTAGAAAGTCCTCCTTTGATCTCTTCCACCTGGAGCATATCGGCCCAGGGAGTCCAGCCCCCCTCCTCTCTGGAAGTCTCCTGCACTTGGCCTGGAATTCTGCATCATGATGTCTCTCTGCTCCCAGACGGGTCTTCTGTGTCAAAGGCCCCCAGGACTTAGAGCTTGTTCAGGTTTCAGACTCTCTTTTTCCACAAAACACACTCCCAGGGCCCCCCAATTTTCCTGCTTGCAACATATTCTGTTCTGTGTCTCTGAAACCTATTTTATTTCTCCAGATAGTATTGGTTTTTGATTGAATTTCATTGTACTCACACTGCAAAATCTGTCTCTTCAGTGGCAACTTAAATTTCTGCTCAGTTTTTTTTTTCTCTCATTGGAATGCTGAGATTCATCTCTCACTCAGCAGTGCTCAGTGTGGTCCCAAAGCCTCCCCCAAATGTGTATGGATCTGTGCTCAGGGATTACTCCTCAACATGCTCACATGTGGTGTCAGGGATCACCTGGATCAGCGAGACATGCACTTTACCTACTGTACTATCAATCTGGGCTGGAGCAATAGCACAGCGGTAGGGCGTTTGCCTTACAAGCGGCCAACATGGCCCACCCGAGTTCGATTCCTCCGCCCCCTTTGGAGAGCCCGGCAAGCTACCGAGAGTATCTCGCCCACACGGCAGAGCCTGGCAAGCTACCCATGGTGTATTCGATATGCCAAACACAGTAACAACAAGTCTCATGATGGAGATGTTACTGGGCCTGCGCAAGCAAATAGATGAACAACGGGAGGACTGTGACCGTGACTATCAATCTGACCCCTCCATTTTTAACTGTTCCCACCACCCTTGTTGCCTAGTTCTCTAGTTACCAAAGTCTACCTTAAATTTTCAGTTGTTCTAATGGTTTCAATTTTTTTTTCTGATTTTCAAAGGTCAAGAAGATGTGATTTTCTCAATTAAGATTTTAGAAACGATCCACATTTATTATGTTTGTCTATAGGTCAGAAACTATACATTGAAAGCCCCAATACTTTCTCTTCCATTTTATATCTGAGTCATTCTCCCATTTGCTCATAAATTCCTCTGAAAATTTGTCTTCCTACCAAAAACCCCCAAGGCTAGGATATGCCCCTAGGTAGACTAGCTTAGGTCTTAGAATACAAAGGGTTTGCAAATGTGCACTCAGGAAAGAATAGAAGAGCAAGGAAGGATAGAACAGATGATAAATATATACCAGATGCAATAAGCAGAATCATAGAATAAGGCCTGTTCAGGGTCTTTTAGATGTAGAGGCAGCATAGGCAAAATAGAATAGAAAACTGTCAGGACTTTATTTTGGTTTCTTGGTGGTACACCTAGGGGTGCTCAAGGGTTTCTCCTGGCTCTGTGCTCAAGAATTACTCCTGGTGGTTCTCAGAGACCCTACAGGATGCCAGGGATCAAACTCGAATTGGCCACAATCAAGGCAATTGTCCTACCTGCTGTACCATTGCTCCTGCCCTGCACTTTATCTCCATGGGTGTTGTGTGAAATGCCTCGCTTTTCTTACACATTTTAAATGTTGTTGTGCTCACTGACTGTCCTTTGTGTCTCTATCAACAGTGGCTTACCTGTAGGGAGCCCAGTGGGGATGGAAGAGCCACATATTATTAAAAAATGAGTTCAAGGGAGGGAGACTGGGGACATTGGTGGTGGACAATGCACACTGGTGGAGGGATGGTTGTTCTATCATTGTATGACTGAAACTCAATCATGAAAGCTTTGTAACTGTATCTCAAAGTGATTCAATAAAAAGTTATTTTAATGAGCTCATGGATAGCTGCCCAGGCAACACTAAAGCCTGACAAATCTGTGTGTGTCTATCTTCCGATATGTCTGTATCATTCTCTGCCACTATCATCTGCTAGACATTGGCATTAGACACCCCCAGCTACACTGACCTTCCATCATCATTCCAAACTAGTTCTCTTTCAGAATCTTCTCACTTGCACTTCCTGCCTAATATTTTCAACTCTTTACTTACATAGTTGTTCACTTCATTAAATTATTTTATATGTCAAAAAATCACAAAACAGAAAGAGCAGATTTTAATTCAAGCTAAACCTTAAAAACAAGAGTCAGCTGTCTGATATATTTAGAAAAGAAAATTCCAGAGGCTGTTATGCAGTCTCCTGCCACTCATCTCAAATCAAGGGTAAAATAAGCAGCCAGAAGCAGCTGAGTGCTCCCTGTGCAATCATCTGATTTCTCCTTTGATAGGCCTTAAAACCATCCTGTCCACTCTAGACCCACCCTACTTGTCCTGCCATAGTTCCTGGGCCAAAATTTGTCACTGTCTATGCCAATGAAACACAATGACTTTGTGGGAATATCTGATATGTTATTCTTTTTTTTATGAAAACATTGTGATTTATGAAGGATTTAAGTAGTATAATTTAAAAGAATAAAATGCTATAAATAGTTTATTATATTTACAAAATTATATAAAGAAAACAAGATTTTATTAGATAACATGAAACTCCTATGCAAATTGTGAGAAATGCCATAAGTAAATTGTGAGAATTCCATATTTGTAAAGAAAACATTAAATATTATAAATATGCTAATCGTTAATAATATTTATATATGAATCTACTGTAATTCCTTTCACAATTACATATTTTGTATTTTGTTCTGTGGTGCAAGAATATAATGTTTATGGTGCTTCAAAATTCTAACTGGGAGAAGAGGTAATTGAGTTTTTTTTTTTTTTGCTTTTTGGGTCACACCCAGCGATACTCAGGGGTTACACCTGGCTCTGCACCCAGGAATTACTCCTGGAAGTGCTTGGGGGACTATATGAGATACCAGGGGCTGAACCCAGCATTCTACCTGCTGTACTATCTGTCTGGCCCTTCAATTGTATATTCTTCTACTTGAGATTTGTCCCAGTGATCAAAATCAAAGATGGTCTTTCTGTAGGTAAGCTCTAATATTCCCTTCTGCAAAGAATTAGTAATTCACATACTTGCACACATACACACATACACACACACACACACACACACACACACACTTCTCATTTGCCAATAAATTTGTGCACGGTGGGTAATTAAATACAGATTTGCATTTTTAAAATATAGGAAGCTAGAGAAAGAAAGGAGAGCAAATAGCATGTGTTTGCAAATAGGGTTGACAGGGCTGGAGTCCACCCATTGCTGACCTCTATTTTTCAGCAGTGTGACTATTACATACTTTGTCAATGTATCATATCTGTTTGGATTGTGGATATATCACTTGAGAAAGTTCTGAAACAGGAAATGGAACTGGACTAAGAATCTGAAATGCAGGTGTAGGCACCACTCAGTGGTTAACCACCCTTGGACAAACCACCACCTCTGGGCCTCAATCCTCTCATTTAAATGGGGACCTCAGGCTAGACTTGTCCTCATGAGCTCTTCTTTCAACGCACTTTTTGTCCATGGAGTGAGACTGCATGGGCATCAGAGACTGCACCGCTGCATGCATGTGAGCCGAATGAGGGTGGCTCAGAGCAGGTTTCCCTACAGGCCCCTTCTGGCTCTGTGACACTGTGAGATCCCAGCAGGCACAGTAGTAGGTGGCTCCATCAGACTCTATGACGTTATTGATGATCAGGTAAAATACTCCATTACTTTTCTTATCTGTCTCCAGGCGGGGATCGAGGTTGTCTTGCTTAAAACTCTTGGTTGAGCCATAAAGAATTCGTCTCAGGGGTTCTCCTTCTTTTTGCTCATACCAGTGCACAATGGCATTGTCGAGAGGAATCCCAGACAGCTTGCAGCTTATATGCACCGTTTTGTCTAGTCTTCTGGTAAAGGACTGATCTTGGGAGATTCTCATTTTGGTGTTTCCATCTGAAAAAGAAGGAAGGGAATTTGGGCACAAGAAATGATTGAATTTGAACACAAAAACTATGATAAGAGGTTGTTTCCTCTCTGGAAAAACCTGTGCTCTCTCTTGGGCATGCAATTCCTCTCTTTCTCTCTTCTCACATTTCCCAACGAAAATTTTGCTTAATAAAACTATTTTGATTAACTGAACAAAATACAATAATACACAGAAGGGGAAGGTATCAACCTACAAACCCAAGCCAAAGATAAGAGAAAAATCCATGAGGACAGCATTATCAGTGCCTGCTCTTAATGGTCCCCACCAGACACTGTGAATTGGGGGTCTGATGCAATTGTAGCCTTTTGTTCCACATGGAGGCAGGGACAGGGGAGGTAGGTTTGTTTTAGAACCAATGAAAGTCCTTAGAACTTTCATAGTGTCATGTGCTCCTACTTCTGGTATGAAGGAGCAAACTACATGAGAATAATGTTAACTTCCGTTTGGGGATAATTTCCATTTTCTTTTTAAGCACTGCTTCAAGTATATTAATTCTTCAGCTCTTTTCCAATGCCTGAGTGACAAGTTATTTTTCTTTCACATTTTGCATGTTTAGGCAGCTATTCATGACTATCACAGAAACTGGAAGGAAAATATTACTGCATATAGTAAAAAGTAAGATAAGGGACTAGAGACATAGTGTAGTCGGTAAGGTGCCTGATTTGCATGTGGAAATGATTCAATTTCCAACTCCTGTCTCCAGCACTAACCCAATATGGCCCCCCAAACCCTACCAGGAGTGATCTCTGAGCACAGAACCAGGTGTAGTATCTGAGCACTGCTAGATGTGGTCCAAAAACAAAATAAAAAGTAAGGCAATGTTCCATAACCTTCTGCAGAACTATGTACACTTTGTCTACCTTGAGTTTACAGAAAATTCACCAACTTTGATGCTAAGGTTATTGCTACATAGTCTTCGATCTTCCTGTGCTCTGTTTATTGACCACAATGGGAAAGTACACTGGGATTTATAGAACATTATACTAAACTTTGATATATGGGAACTTATCCAAGCCTCAGCAATTCAGTACGATGAGGGTTTAAGCACTATGACTACTTAAAATTGGGAATGCAGAGTGAAAAACAATTTAAACAGTGTATTAATATTCCTGGATAACACCATTGGTGAATGCTACACAAGAATTTGAAGTGCAGGTCTATGCGACACAAAAGACTTGAATCTCTCATCGTACATTACTTCACTCAAAGTCAACATACTATGCTGGACACTGGTTCGTGGTTTCCTTTCTGAGAGGTTTCTAGTAGCTGGTGAAGCAGAGACAATTTCCGGCACTTAGAAAAGCCTGCCTGTTCAGATGTAAGATAAGATGAGATTTCCCGCTGTTTGGATTGAACTCGGAGATCTACTGAGTGAGCTTCAGCACGAGTGAGACAGATACAGAGTGATCTCCCACATGTGTGTTATAAAGAAACCTAGCAAGGCAATAACAAGTGGCCAAAGGTAGCAAGGAGAACCTGAGAACTGACCTACAGAACTGAGTTTGCCAAACACAAGCATGGGGCTGATGTGAAGTGTCCATCATTCATTGGTGGAGGGAAGCCGAAAAGTGGTGGTGGGTGTGATGTTAGAAAACTGTATGTATGCAACTCTGTCCTAAATAGGTGCCTCAACAAAAAATTGAAAAAGAAAAGAAAACCTTCCCTTGGTCCCAGAAGGGTGAGGTTAAGCCATAAAGGAACCTCAGGGCAACAAGCGTCAAGACTGAATCCTTGAGCTCCCTGCTCAAAAGCATTCTTAGAGTAAGAAGATAAAATGTACGTGTGTGTGAGTGTGTGCATGTGTATGAGTGCGTATATGTGCAAGTGTGTATGTGAGTATGTGTGACTGTAATTGTGAGAGTGTATGTGTGTGAGTGTGTGTATAGGTGAGTGTATTTGAGTATAAGTGTGTGAGTGTATGTATGGGTGATTATATTTGAATATGTGTGTGTATGTATGAATATGTGTGCACATGTGCGTCTGTGCAGAGGTGTAGCAGCATGGAAGGGTTTTTGTTCAGTGCAAGGGAACATTTCCACACAGTGTATCCCAGCATGCACAGTAGTACAGGCCCGCATCCTCGTCCTTTGTCTGGTGTATCCGGAGACTTGCTGGCAATTCACTCTGAAACTTCCTGGCTTCGTATCTTTCCTCACTAATACCTTGTTCATGAACAACATTTTCATTTGAGGAAATATATAGAATTCGTTGTAGCGGCTGCTCTGGCTTCTGTCGATACCAGTGTAGATACACATTCCTTTTGTGGGTAGTTGTTTTGACCTGGCATTCAAGAAACGCTGTGTTTCCTTCTGTCTTAATAAGGGATGTCTTCATTTGTGTTATTAGAATGTCTGCACTTGTGTCTAAAAGAGAAAGGTTAAAATTTTGATGCTCGTTAAAATGGCAAATACATTTATTCTTGAATCAAAAAATGGCCTAAATCCAAAGTCTACATGTTCTTTCTGAAGAATTCAAGGTAAAGATGGAATCTAGCAGTTTGATCTGAATGACCTTTCACCCAAGAAGGCTGGCTTAACTGCCCAAGCCTACCACCCTTTTAATGAATGCTGTATCCTTGAGTAAAGCCACTCACAGGTCCAAAAGGCCACCAGGATGGCTTGTGAGGGGAGCAGCATTTTGCCTGAAGTGGTCTGGGCTCATTACTGCACAGTGGGAGGATTGCAGAGAAAATATGAGCACTGATTTAGCTAGAGGAAGTGGTGCTCTGAATGCACAGTCTAGACCCACAGACTTCAAAGAAAAGGACTCATACTTCCCCCAAAACTTCCTGCTAAAATAGGTCTGTGAATTTATCAGTAAAATTCTCCCATTGCTATGAAAGTTTCACCATCTGATACTCATTAAGGAATCATTTGCCTGTTAAAGGGTTAAAGTCATTCATTGTTCTAAAACAGAGAGCAGGAGATGGAGGGGAGGGGAAGGGGGGGTACTAGGGAATGTGAGCGGATGCTGCAGGAAATCTACATTTTTCATTTGTCATGGGGGCCTTTTTGTAGCTTTGCATATTTTTACATTTCATCAGATAACTTTGGATTTAGGTTTAAAATTGAGCTTACCTGACTCTAGACTTTAGATGACCCCATTAGAGAAAACAATTCGCATTAAATGGGAATCATAGAGACTCTTAAAACAAAGATCATTGTTATTTCCTATAAGTGAATGCATACATATTCATATATTATAAAGAAACACAAACAAGAATAGCACTTTAGCACTATCCTCCCATTGTTCATTGATTTGCTCGAGTGGGCACTGATCAGGATAACAGGGTAAAACAGAGATGTAATGGGCAGCCTAATATGTGAAGATTGCCTCATGTCCTCCACTGGGGAAACTATTCATTCCTGTAAGATCTGAGTAGATTTCCTTTACACACCCGCATTTATTCTCTCCATTTGGACCTTGATGTAAGTGACTACATCTTAGATCAACCCTTAGCACCACGAACAATTTCTACTTTTTAAGTACATCCTTAGAGTGTCTTTTAGCAAAATACTGCAATTTATTACCATATCAGTGATGAAATCACTTTGGGTTCTTCATATTTTATTCATTTTACATCACTAGTTTTACACAATGTAAAAGTAGAACAAGAAATTCAATGCTCAATTTATCTTCCTGGTTTTGGTAAGGTAAGGTAAGGTAAAGGCCCTCCCATTGATCATCGATTTGCTCGAGCGGGCCCAGTAACGTCTCCATTGGAGACTTTGTTGTTACTGTGTCTGGCATATCGAATACTCTCGGTAGCTTGCCGGGCTCTCCGAGAGGGGCGGAGGAATCGAACTCGGGTCGGCCATGTTGGCCGCTTGTAAGGCGAACACCCTACCCGCTGTGCTATCACTCCAGCTCCTGGTTTTGAAGCCCAATTAATTTCCAGTCATGCTCCCCTTCCCTTCCCCCTTTCATTTTCTTATTGCCCTGCAAAGGTATTTGTACCTTTAAAATAAACTATCTACTTATACCCAGGTATATGTTGGGGGTTAAAACTAGGTTGACAGTAAAGACCATGCTTGCTGTCAGGCTCTCTCAATACAAGCATTCTGCCAGTTGTCATAACTGTTTCCTGTCATTCAAAGTCTAAAATTAAAAATGGCTTGTGTGATAATGGGGAAGCAAAATACAGCACAGTTGGGAAATACTATGGGTTCAACAGTCGAAACCAGCACGATAAAGTGAATAGAGTGATTTGGATAAATGTTACAGTTTCCCAGTGTAGGTAAATGTTAGATTTATCCTCCATGGTAATCAATGAAGCATTCTAGACCTCTGAAATGCCGTATTATCATAAGTCATTGATAAATTACTGGTGAAAAGCTGGAATCAGTCTTATGCTTTTCTTCATCAACTAAGTTTTGGAACTTAGTTGATAAATAAAAAGCAAAAAAATAATGTAAAAAATTTGAAAATTTGAAAAAGGAGTTAACAATCTATTGTCATTTTAACAATGTTTACAATGTCTTTGTGAGAACATTCCATTTCCAAATTTCTCTTCCTTTGCTCATTCATAATGAATAACTCCTTATTTTCTATTATTATGAGATTGAAGCAATTGAGTTCCATCATAAGGCATTGTTTCCAGTCCTAGTCTTCTTGTTATTTCTATTGTGTATGCAGTTCCTGCATCTTGAAGTCTTGAGTCATTCATGAGGCTTAAAATAACCTTCTTCCAAACTCCTGTTAATAGTCTGATCTTCCCACAGTAATCATAAACACTCTTCATTTCATCTAGATGATAAATCCTTTCTAGGAGATATTCTATTTACTTTGCCTGGTTACTCTGTCTGCCAACATAAAGCTGTTTCATCTATGTTGAAAATATGTTGCTTAGCATAAGCACCTTTATAGATGATCTTTGTAGCTTGCTCTTTTGGTTAACTTGCTACATTTTCTGTGTAATCTTTTACAGAGAAAGTTTGCCAGTTTCTTTTATAGAGAAATGTAAAATAACTTCAGATATTACATTTTACTTTTATTGATTCTGTTTCTACTATTCATCATTTTTATGTGTATATAGTTTCAAGTTTTGGACCTATTTCTATGTTTCTCTGATTAAAAAACTTAACATTTCTTATAGAGGGATCAAGCTGACAACAAATACCCACAATTTAATTTTAGTTTTGTGTGAGAAATTCTCTCTCTGCTCTCTCTACGCTTTCTCTCTCCTGTCTCTCCTCTGTCTCTCTCCTCTCTCCTCTGTCTCTTACTGTCTCTGTCT